GCAAAGGGGAGAAAAATTCTCAGCGGCAAATGGGTCTTTCGAATCAAGACACTTGCGGACGGCTCGGTCGACAAATACAAAGCGCGATGGGTGGTGCGGGGATTTGAACAAACGCACCTGGTGGACTTCACTCTCACATACGCACCAGTGGGTCGCCACACGTCGGTGCACATTCTCATTTGCATCGCCGCCGTCAAGCAACGACCGCTCCGGCAAATCGACGTTGGCAGCACTTTCCTGTATGCTCCCGTCGACGCCATCATCTTCGTCGAGCAGCCGCATGCTTTCGAAGAAAGCGATGGCGCCGTGTGTCTCCTCCAAAAATCCCTTTACGGGATCAAACAAGCACCTCGCCTGTGGCAGCAGTATCTCCATTCCGTCCTCATCGAGCTCGGTTTCACCCAGCTGCCGCATGACCGTACAGGCGGGAGTCACGCGGAAAATTCATCCTCCTCGTCGCCTACGTCGACGACCTCCTCTACACTGGCGATGACACGGAGATCCTGGACCAGTTCGAGGCCTACATCAAGGAGAAGCTGGAAGTGACGGTAAACCACAACGTCACGCAATTCCTCGGCCTCAATGTGACCCAGTCCGCCTCCTCCATTCACCTCTCTGCCGCAAAGTACGCCGAAACTGTCGCGAAGCGGTTCGCCATCGCACCAATTAACCTCACCACTCCTTATCGCACTCCTCCCAACCACGAGCCCGACACCACGCCGCTCTCTCCCGACGATCATCGCCTCTAACAGCAGCAGCTGGGGTGTCTCCTGTTCGCCGCTGTCACGTGCCGGCCCGACCTCTCCTACGTCGTGGGGTTGACTATATATGGGGTACAGACCTTTTGGGGTTGGGAAATTCGTAACCATCAGTGTAGATGCTGCCAAGTGGTTGGGAGAGCCAAACCAGGTTGGCAAGTGTGGCCAAGTGGGTTGAGGTGGATGGCATGAGTTGGGAAAGTGACAAATGTCAAAGTTGGGGTGCCTATAGAGAGGGGAATTGTGTGGCATGGGGTTTCCTTGGTTGGGAACTCCCTTGGGACCTTCCCTCTCGTCCTCCTCTTCCCTCCTACCTGGTTCATTGCTACTCTAACTCTCTTGTGTGTAACTTGTGAACTTGTGGAACTTGTGAGACTCTTGTGATTGAGTTAATTTTCTATGGCAACATACCCCCCTGTGCGCCGAAATTGATACCTCGAGATTTAGTTCACCGTTTGATGTAATTCAAATTGGGAAATGTGGCCACAGTCCAGAGCTACAACATACTCGGTTTTCGTGAGATTCTAACAGTGAATTTTTCGTCGACGACGTTTCTTGTGAAGTCGACGATTCTGTCCAGAAATTGAGACCAACGATTTTGTGTTATTTCGGCACCTAAACGTTCTAGACTCAGTCCTTAGTCTCTAACAAGTGGTATTAGAGCTGATTGAGAACGTTGTGAAGATTTTACTGAGGTGTGAAGACCCTCCTAGACCCACCATGGCCTGTGGGCGTGCCTAAGTGGTGTTCTAGAGGTTGCATGTGACTTCCGCTAAGGGGAAACTCTGCCGAAATTTCGTTGGCGCCGACACTTGTGGAAATTGTGTGGGACTTCGGTGTGGACAGCAAAAGGGGGAGCTGAAACCTCTGATTGAGAACAGAGGAGATGAGTCAAGGGAGTGGAGAAGCAGCTGACAAGAAGAGTGAACCGCCACCATCCAAGATCGAAGCTTTGGATGGCTCCGAAAAACAATGCTTCGCTTCTCCGCCTTAGGGCGGCCATAGATTTCCTCGCGCGTATCATGGCTAGCATCCTCGTTACGAAGCCAACAGCTAACATCCGTCGCTGCTTTGACTACTGCCTTTAACACTAACAATGGACATCCGGTCATTTTTGCTGGCCTTGGTATCTCCAGTTATAAGGCATGGAGCTTCGGGTTCTGTCAGGCAGTCTCGGGATTGCATACGTCGCGTCATTTTCCATTGTCAAGCAACAACATTACAACTTACAACTACACCAACGTTTTTATTACGCCTGATGCTTCCAAGGATGAAGTCTCGAGATTACCACATCGGGATTATCAGCTCTATGGAACATTGGACCCTGACAAAGTCAGGATACTATATCAAGGCTTCGTGCTCAGACTTCATGCATTATTTCTTCTGGTCATCGAGTGTGCTTGGCACACTCTCTCTCTGCCTGCTTATTATCATCATCGCACAATGGCGCATCCGGCTCATGTTCCTATTCTTCCGAAGGGTCAGCGTTCACGGCCTGCTGTTGAACCGCCGACTAACATGGATGCTCTTCACATCACGGGTAGTGCTGCTAGTACCACGGCTTCAACGGTGCCTGCAGTCAATGACAATGGCAAGTTCTCAGCTTCGGTTGCCAGTGGATCAGGCTTGTCTGCGAGCGACAAAGTTACGATACCGTCCATTGGCCTTGCTGATGATGACGGCTTCATTGACGATGATTCAGATTACGAGATGCTAATCGACCTGGTTAAGGAGCCTGTGTCTGGTTTGCGTGCGGTTGCTGTCTTGCTGATTCTGTTTATGCTGGTGAAAGAGATTTCTTGCGTGATTGACGCTGTCAAAGCTCTGATCAAGCATGGGTGGATTTCAGAGCTGTCAGCTGATGTTGTCAAGACGACCAAGTTCCAGGAGCTTCAGACGGCTTACATTCCTAAAACGCGGTATTGTCGCCTGCAAGTATCATTCGCAAAGGAGTCAGATGCGGATTGGGTCCGTCAGAAAGAAGTCATCAGGTCAGCTGGTTACTCTTCATTGGCAGCATACGGATGACCCTGCTTTCACTCGCGAGAAGGCGATGAATCCTCACGCTATTGAATTCATGATCAAGGGTGTTTCAGCTGCAGTTGATCTCATCCTCATTCATGACCGGCTTGCTTCTTACCTGCTGAAGAGCACTCAGCGGTCGGCTTTCCAGCGTTGTGTCTGCCTTCACCGTGTGCTTCATCCGGTTACTGGTGCTGACACGGACGTTGTGAAGGGTCTGGTGTACGCTCACCCGGAGAATCAGAATCGCCGCTGGATTCATGCCATCGCTGATCCCGCGAATCGGTCGAAGCAGCTCCTGATCCATTACGCAGCCTTATCCTGCAGGCTCTGTGGTGGCAAGCACTATGATAAGTATCATGATGCTTTGATCACTGAGCGTCAGAATAATGTTAGTAAATGGAATCTTACACTTGGCGGTGTGCACAGGCTTAACGGTAAAAGCAGTCAGCTTCTCTCATGCAGTCCGCTTTACCTCTCTCTTACAGTTACTGACCTGTCCCTTGATCTCCGCAGCTGCGTCGCTGAAAGCGTCGCCCCTCTTCCTTCCCATTCTTCGGGACCCAGCCATCGCCTTAGTCTCCACTGGCAGCAGCAGGGAGGATTGGATCTGCACACAGGCCGGCTGCGGAAAGGCAAAAGGGAAGAGTCTGATAGCAGCGGCGGCTCATATCAAAGCAGCTACTCACCTGCTGGAGCTGGAGAAGGCCGGCTCAGCATCGAAGGAATTCCTCGACAAGCTGAACCTGGCAGTTGTTCGGACAGAGTACGGACTGTGACAGAGTTTGAACGCTATCTTGATGTAGCTGCATGTTGGTGTCTAGGGGTCAGTGTTGCCTGTACCGTCTCATTTCTCAGCCTGTGGATGATCAGGGGCTGCAAGGCAGTGGATAAATGATTAATAAAAACCACCTCACCATCGCGAGCCTGAACGTCAACGGCTTAGGAACAAACAGAGTCAAACAGGAGTGGGTCACTAACTGGATGAAGAAGTCAGCGGACATTGCAGTACTGGTAGACACTAGGATAGACAACAGCCACTCGTTCTGGTCCGGGCTTACCTCATACACGGTCTTAGCGAATCCTCCTCGAGCTAGCGCTGGTGGTGTAGCGGTCCTCTGTAGTGATGAGAACATCACCTTCCATGACATGGAGTTTCACGTCTCAGGTAGAATAGTCAAGACGGTAGTGAAAGGTGCCGGACTGGATCTTACTCTAGTAGCTGTCTACCTCCCATCGCACATTACGCCTCGCACTGCTTTCATTAGAGATACTCTCGGACCAGTCATTGACACGGTCTCACCTTCGTCTCAACTTCTCATCATCGGTGATCTGAACCTGACGGATGACCCCAAGCTGGACAGATCCTCAGGTTCTGGTTCATCAGCTGAAAATGAGAAGCTCCTCTTGCGCTGCACCAGCTTCCAGCTTTCCGACGCTTTTCGTACCTTGCATCCGCGAGACAGGGAATACACCTTCTACGCACACTCGCATCACTGCAGCACTCGCATTGACCGCGCGCTTGTCTCGCAATCACTACTAACTTACCTTTCCATCGCCAGACATGATATGCCGGAGGAGCCAATCTCGGATCATGGCTTTGCGATTCAGGTTGCCTTTCGCCTGGACGAGAAAATCTGTACGGGACTGGGTATTTGGAGGTTGCACGCCTCGATGGTGCATAGGCCAGGGATGCGGAGGATTATTGATGCTACGGTACGGAGAACGCCTGTCAATGATGGCAGCAGCTTTGAGCTCCTGATTGCTCGGCTGGGAGCAGGATTACGGGCGTACGCACGGGAAGAAAGCAAGCGGGTTAAGAAAACTCTGGCTCACTTGGTGAGCAGAGTCGCGCTGCTGAAACAGGAACTGATGAGGAACCCAACATGCAATGTCACACAGGAGGCGCTCGCAGCTAAGGAGTTACAGTTGAAAGCGTATCAGGAGGCGCGGAGGGAACGGCTGCACTTGCAGGCTGGTTTGTCGGAGGAGATGACTGGTGAAATCGCCTCGAAACATCTATCCGCAAAAGTCCATGCAACGAAAGCTCGCACGCAAATTAAGGAGCTGAAGGAAGGGAGTAACATGGTGACTGGGGTGAAGCAGATTCTGGATGCTGCGTCAGCTTTCTTCAATAATATTTTCGGAAAGGATCGCCGCACAGATTTCTCAAACTGGAATTTCAACCCGAGCAGGCGTCTGGGGAAAGAGGCAGAAGAGATGTTAATGGCGGACTGGACAGAACAGGAGGTGAAAGAAGCATTTATGACAATGGCGAGGAATAAATCACCCGGTGGAGATGGGCTACCGAAGGAGCTGTTCGAGTGTCATTGGGACCTGCTGGGGGGGAGTTTTATGGCGCTGGTAAAGGATTTCGAGAAATCAGCGTCTATCCCCGCAGAGCTCAAGGAGGCGGTCACTATCTTGCTGCATAAGAAAGGAGATCGTGATCAGCTGAATAACTATCAGCCCATCACTCTCCTCAACTTAACATACAAGGTGTCAGCCAAGGTCATGGCAGAGCGGATGAAACGGGTTCTGCACCAAGTCATCTCACCGGAGCAGTATGGGTTCATCCCGAGAAGACGCCTGTCGGATGCGGTGGCGCTGGTTGCGGATATCATTGATGTGGCGAAGAACGAGAAGGCGGACTGGTATATGCTGTTAGTCGATTTCCAGAAAGCTTTCGATTCGGTATCGAGGGACTTCCTCTTCCAGGTGCTTCGAAGGATGGGGTTTCCGGAGCGGTATGTTGGCTGGGTAGAAGGCCTACATGAGAACACAACGACGAAGCTCCTGGTTAACGGCCGGCTTGGAGAGGGAATGAACGTGGTCTCGGGTGTTCGGCAGGGCTGCCCACTTGCACCCTACCTGTTCTTGTGTGCGGTGGAGCCGCTGGCTCAGGAGGTAGAGAGGGAGAAGCTGGGGCTCAGTAAGGACGGGCAGCAGCTCGGCTATCTTGGGTACGCTGATGACACAACGTTGGTTTTGCAAGGCAAGGAGCAGATTGTCAGAGCAGAGGAAATCTTGGATAATTTTGAAAAAGCAGCTGGACTGGCCACAAACAAAGGGAAAACGGTGATTTTACCTCTGGGAGAGAACATTGGCGCTGCGGCAGACGGCGCGTCTAGCTTCAAATGGGCGGGTGCAGACGATGCTGAACGCCTGCTAGGCGTGTGGGTGACTCCCTCTGGGAATGGGCAGAAAACGTGGGAGAAGGCGATGGAGCGCATTACCGAGAAATTGGTGAAGTGGAAGCAGAAGTACCTGACGACAGCAGCCCGAGCGTCAGTGGTTAATTTCTACATCACCCCGCTGCTTGCTTTCCAAGCTCAAATCTATCCGCCACCTGCAGACATCTGGGAAGATTTGGTGCGGTTGTTACACGGGTTTACATCTGGGAACAGAGTGTCGTCAACGAATGGATTTTTTCTCTGGAGTAAGGTGCTGCTGTATACCACGAGAGCAGCGGGCGGAATTGGCGTGCGGGACCCAGAGATTGTTATCACCTACTTAGCGGCGAGAAGAGCGGGGTTATACATCATGGAATGCAACAGCCTTAAGAAAGATCTGATGGTGCGGGCGGCGAAACTTCCCTTGGGAGCAGAATCTTTCGGAGCACATGAGAAGCTCTTCAAGCACTTGGAAGGTGGTAGTATTCGGTGGAAGCAGACGTGTGAGAGTATTGCTGGGTCGCCGCTGTGCTTGCGTGCCTCTGCCTCAACAAAGGAAGAGATTCTGCAGGAGCGGGTGGTTTTTAATAAAAACATATTACTACGGGGCACCACGCCGATCGGAGGGCAAAAGGATGCCAGGAAGCTGTGGGATTTGCGACTGGGGGATCTGTTCATGAGAAGCGAAGCAGGGGAGCTTGAGCAGAAAACCATTGCGGAATTAGCAAGGCTTCTGGGCAGTAACGGCCCGGCGAAGCTGGCGCTGAAGGCTGTTGGTGCTCTCCCTGCCAGATGGTACAGAGAGCTGGGGTTTCCAATTGTGCTCCCTTGCTCGGCTGACTCCCCTCAGCTGTTGAATTTCTTGGAGGATGGGCGCATCATTTCGATGAAGCGGATGAGAGAGGGGTGGAAGGAGGCCTAGAAGGAGTCGTACAAGCGCGCAAAGTGGGCGGCAAGATGGGGAGGAAACATTGACTGGAAGAAAGTCGTGAGCACGCGGGACTCTTTGGCTGTCCCCAGCCGTCCACGTGACGTGCTTACTCGCATCCACGGTCTAAATCTGCAGGTTGGGGGAGCGCCTGGCTTTTCTCAGCAGCAAGCCAGTTTGCCCATATTGCGGGGAACCGGAGACATTGGAGCACTGTTTGGTTTCCTGGCCTAGAGTTCAAGTGGTCTCTGCGGCTCTTCGGCGCGCTTTGGGCATGATGAATCCCTCCCGCACGACGGACTCGTTGGGGGATCTTCTGTTTTGGGATACCGGTACCAGCTCAACATTTCCGGAGCTAACGATAACATCAATTGCATTTCACCAGTTGTGGCTTGAGCGGTGCGAAGCTGTATTCAGAGGGCGGAAATTCCAGACTCAGTGAGTCCTGCGTCGGATTGAGGTGGCTTTTCGGCAGCACGTGAAACTGTACATTCACAAGTTCGGGTCGATGTGGCGAAAGCAGAGGCAGCGTGGCTCATCGGAGGAGTGGAACATGCTTGGAAAGATCAGAACGGATGGCAGAAGCCTGACATGGACAAATAACTCTGCAGCAATCTGGTCGGTGAGGTGGGCCAGGCGCATCAGGCCCTAGAATCCTATCTGGAGCAAGAGGGTTACGCACGGTTACGACCGTTCTTGTTAGTATATACTTGCTCTTCAGTGTATACTTTCAATTATCATTAAAAAAAAAAAAAAAAAAAAAAAAAGCTTTGGATGGCTCCAATTATGAGGAATGGAGCGGGCGGATGCGGAGCGCCTTCAAGCGCTACAAGCTGCTGAAACTTGCGATGGGAGAAGAGAAGATGCCGGAGGAAGGAGATGCCCGCAATCGATGGATTGAGAAGAGCGCGGTGCTGTACGACTTGATTCTATAGTCGGTCAACAACGACATGTTCGAGCACATCAAGGATCTGGTGGAGCTCGATGACTCCGGACCGAAGGCGTGGAAGCTGCTACGCGACGTGGTTCAGCCCAACACGCTGCCGATGGTGATTGTGTTGGAGAAGGAGCTGGCTGCCCTCTCCATGCGGCCGGGAGACGATGTGAAGCCGGTGCTTGACAAGATCAAGGACACCTATGCGAGGATGGCAGCGGCGGGCAGCAAGGTGTCGGAGATGCAGCAGTGCACCAAGATCATCTCGGTGCTCGACAACTCGTGGGACAACCTCATTTCTACCCTCAACGTTCAGCAGGACAAGTGGACGCCTGAGTGGCTACGGCAGCAGATCCTGCAGGAGGACTTCCGCAGGCGCCACACGGGAGGTGGTGCTGCCAACATGACTACTGAGGGGTATGGAGCTGCAGGAGGCAGCAGAGGAAGAGGGGGAGGGAGAGGCCGAGGCCGTGGGAGAGGCTTTGGCAGAGGGAGAGGCCGAGGTGACTATAATGAGGGGCATGGGAGCTCTGGTGGCAGGGGGAGCACCCGAATGGAGGGTGCATGCTGGTACTGCAAGAAGGCTGGACACCCGTGGTTCAAGTGTTTCAGCCAGCCTGAAAGATGGGCACCCCCAGGCATGAAACCGCTAAGTGGTGAACGCGCACGAGGTGGCGCTGTGCAAGGTTCAGGTGCACAAGGTGAAGGTGCACAAGGTAAAGCCGACCCTGGGATGTTCCTCATGGTTGAGGATGTGAAAGAGAGTGAGGATGATGTGGGTTCAGTTAGGAAGGTTGTGATGCACCCGCTCACTCACTAGGTAATCGATTCAGGATGCACGAGTCACATGACTCCGCGGGCAGATTTACTTGATGAGGTGAAACCCCCCGGGAAGATCAAGTTTGTGGCTACCGCTTCAGGTGCTTTGCTCCCCATAATTGGTGTTGGGAATGCCAAGGTGATGGGAGCCAATAGGGGACTAGTGGGGCTTGGGAATGTCCTGCTAGTTGAACGCTTGTCTGCTAACCTCCTCTCTGTGCCCCGACTGCAGAAAACCAGGGCAAAGGTTACGTTCGGCCCAACCAGCTGCCGTGCAAAGCTTGGGAAGTTGCTGCTGTGGGATTTGGACGAGAAGAGCAGCTGCATCAAGGACCTGTGGCAGCTGCCCATCATCCCTTGGAATGGGAAACCACCAGCAACGGCAAAGGCAGCGGCAGCGGCTAAAGCAACTGCAGGAGGAGAGGAGACTGCACCAACTGCTGGGGCCCTGGATGCAGTCAAGAAGGTACAGCAGCCTGAGCAGCCTCATGGTGAGGTGCTTGCTGGTGTGGATGCAACAGCTGCATGGGCAAAGGCTTCATCTGGGAGTGGTGAGGCCGATTGGGAGACGTGGCACGAGAGGTTGTGCCACATCAACATTCCGATGCTGCAGAAGTTGGTGAAGGATGGAAGTCTAAAGGGATTGGAGGTGAAGGGGGCAGCAAAGGAGATTGGGAGCTGCCCTACATGCCTTGAGACCAAATTCACGAAATTTCCCTTCAGAAGCAGCACGGGACCAGCCAGGCCCCCCTTGCGACTTGTGCACATGGATGTGGTGGGCCCCACGAGGGCCCTTTCTCTCTCGGGCAGCCGCTATTTCTTGACCATTGTGGACGACCACACACGTGCGGTGTGGGTGTACCCTCTGAAGACTAAGGGGGAGGTGGCAGCGGCTGTTCTTAAGGAGTGGATGCCGAGGGCTCAAAGGGAGAGTGGACAACAATGGGGGAGAGTTCATCGGCGCTGATTTTGAGAAAGAGCTGAAGCAAAAGGGGATCCAGCATCAGCACATAATGCCCTACAACCCGCAACAGAACGGCGTGGCTGAGCGGTTCAACCGGACCCTGCAGGAAGGTGCTCGCACTCTCCTTGGGCGTGCAGGGCTGCCGGATCCGTTTTGGGTGACTGCACTGAGGCAGGTCGTCGTTGTGAAGAACAGGGTGCTGGCGCCTGTAGGGGACAAGCAGTGGGTCCCCTACACCAAGTGGTATGGGAGTGCACCAGCAGTCAACATGCTGAGAGCCTATGGCTGCATGGTGGTGTTTCATGTGCCGAAGGAGAAGAGGGGAAAGCTGGAAGCTTCTGGAAGATGGGGTGTGCACTTGGGGCTTGCTAAGGATCACAAGGGCTGGTTGATATGGGACTTGACCAGCCAGCAGCTGACTGTGTCGAGGGATGTGAAGTTCCTTGAGTCCTTGTACTACAAGGAGTGGAAGCAGTAGCAGCAGAAGCTTCCTACTACACCGCTGATCATTGAGGCCGATGAGGTGCAGCGGCCTTCGAGGCAGGTGGAGGTTTCTGTCTCTGAGAAGGAGATCTCTGGAGTGACTGAGGATGGGGGAGAACCTGAGGTGGAGCAGCAGCAGCAATAGCAGCAGCAGCAGCAGCAGCAGCAGCAGCAGCAAGGTGCTCCACAAGGTGCCGCACGTTCGGCTGACCGTCCTAGGAGGGATGTGCGCCCTCCTAACCGGCTTACCTATCCGAGCTTTGGGAAGCCAAGTGTGGTGCCAGCTGGGAGTGTGACTGAGAAGTGTGATGAGGATGAGATAGCCTACTGCTGTGGGGCTACATTCAGATGCTTTGGGGTCAGCCAGTGAGACAGCGATAGGTGCAGGGAGGGGAGTGACTGTGGTACTGTCGCGAAAGAAACAGCGAGAAGCACCAGAGTCAAGTGTAAAGGTGTGCAAGGCCTGAGCCGACGCAGTACCAGGGAGAGCAGACTCACTAGCACCTAGGGCTGCAGTGTCTATTCCTGGGTCAAGAGGCACACACAAGTAGCAGTCACCCTCAGCACTAACAGTCAATGCATACATGGCAGCAAGAATCGCATCATAGTCAAGATAAAAAATAGGAACATTACACTTAAGCAGGTCTGCCCAGTAGGGAAGCTCAGTAGCATCAGGAAACTAGGCATGCCAAGCTTCATCAAGCCTAGAGAAGCAGCGGTACTCAGTGTGAAATTGTTGCACGTCTGACCAGCACGTTCTCCAGTGCGAATGCGGTAAGGGCAGCGACCACTACCCCCAAACGCCCCACGCAGAGCGTACCACTCACGAAGCGTGCGGGGCTCGGGCTGACGCTGCTGCTACTGGCGCTGGCCAATACCAGCATCTCCCCGCTGACCAGCTCCACCACGGCCGCCACCACCGCTGCCACCACCGCTGGTACCACTGCTCCCACCGCGATCAGCACCGCCGCTGTCGCCGCCATTGCTACCGCTCCCACCCCTGCCTCCTCCACCACCACCACGCGCACCGCTGCTGCCACTGCTGCCACCGACCCCTCCACCCCCGCCACCACCCCCACCACCACCACCCCCATCGCCGCCGCCTCCACCACCACCTCCTCCGCTGCCGCCGCTGCTACCCTTGCCTCCCTTGCCCTTGCCGCTGCGGCGCTTCCTAGCAGAAGTAGAAGCGGCACCGACCTCCTCAGCACCAAGGAAGTCAACAGCAGCAGCAGAAGCGTGAGAGGGGGCAAGGGGGGAGGGGGCACATCCCTCAAATAGGGAAGTGCGGGGAGTGCCACGAGCAGCACCGTCAGCTAGGATGTCGGACTCAGCTGCAAGCAGATGCTTCTCGAGGTCGTCGACTGTGAGGTCGGTGGGTGGGAGGGCTAGAAAGTGGTCCCTGACTACACGAAGAGAGTCCGGGAGTCGGGTGACGATGAAATAGAGTGTGATGTACATTCACTATCGAGAAAGTTGGGTACAAGTAACAAACCCTATACCCCACATTGGCTACCCCACTACAGCCTACATATATGTAACATATATATATAGTTTGACAGCCTACTGTTGGGTCTTCACGATATCCAACCGCACCTCCTTGTCCAGGAGCCTCCTCAACCAGTGCTACTTGGGCGTGATGTGCTTTGTCAGCCCATAAAGACAAGCATTCTTGACAAGCTTCTCTGCTGACTCATTGTCATAGAAGATACCGTAACTGTCGGGTCCTTCTGTCCAAACCTGATCTCCTCCAACAGACGCCTTAACCACACCACCTCCTTCGCCCCATGATAT